GCCTGCCATTCTTTTCTGAGATAATTGATCTGATACGCTATATAGCAAACAGAGGGAAAAAAGTCAAGCGATATACCAATGCGTATATGTACATGACTGTGCCCTAGAACTAACACAACAGGAACCTCCGTTGATGAATAGCGATGCTAACTTAATGTGGGTATTGCGATAGCTCATGTTCGTAAATGGTCGAATACAGATAAGCTCAATGCCTATTATTATTATTATTATTCAAGTTTAACGTCCTGTCTCAGCTGGTAGGCTGTATAAGACGTGCAGGCTAGGCCTGCAGGTAACTACTTAGTGCTATCAATTTGGTGTAGTTACAAGAGGGGGGTCATCTAAATGCAGGTGAGGCTAAGCTCAATGCCTAAGCAGTAGATAAAGCTTAGCGTCAGCGCTGATCCGTCGGCACACACTAGGCCAGTTCACTGAATAAACAAAAAACGGCAATTTTATGTATAGGCTTCTTGCACTTATTACTGATGGTAGAAAAAGTCAAAATGCTATAACTCGGTAGCTGTAACTCGGTAGCTGGATGGACCTTGCGCGAGAGTGGCGTTTTTCCTTTTTCCTTACGACAGTTATATGACCCCGCAGGCAAGCATAGTCTTTTCACAGATTATCTTTAACGGTCAAAAGAACACTTTTTACATACTACCAGTTGAGGGCTGCACTGCATCGCCTCCCGATTACACTGTAACCAACAAAAATCTCGAAATTTCCAGAAAAGCAGTGTGCTAGGTCTGGATCTACTGACAATATTCTCAAAAGATGGATACGCACTCCAGTACCACACCCGTTGGCGGGTTTGTAAGCTCAACACTTCTCGAGAAGATTGACAAACTCTTCGCCTGCAATGCCGGAGAATATGTGGATCTACCCCAATTAGTAGTGATAGGGGATCAATCCAGTGGCAAGAGTTCAGTGCTCGAAGGGCTCACAGGTTTGCCCTTCCCTCGAGATAGTGGGCTATGTACTCGCTTCGCAACACAAATCACGTTCCGCCGGTCAAGTGAAGAAAACATAGTAGTAGTACATATAACATCAAATGGAACCTACTACGATCGGGGTTCGAGAGCCGTCGTCTCGAGTCTGTTTAGACATCGCAATCGATCACAGAATTCCTGCAACATTGAAGCCACTACATGCACCAAGAAAATGTTCAAGTAGCAGACATTTACGAATGATACAAGAGTTAGGTTATAGCTTACGACGTGGCGGACAGGCTATCCCTCGTGATGAGATAGCCACAGCAGCGTACTTGGCAAGACCTGACACGAAAGGTGGTATCTGCTTCATCCTGCAACAGCCAGCCGACCACCATCCGTACAACCTAGGTGCGGACTCAGTCATAGAGTCATCACCTACACTTCGAGCCCTTCTCATAGAAATCTGGCCAATCGTCTCATGTGGCGCACCCAGCCCTACTGTCTTGGATAGATTACCGTTTGTCAGATCTTACGAGGAGCCTGATCTTGATGTCAGGCATTACATCCAAGAGCGAACCTTTGCGATGATTGAGGCGAAATGCCCGGATGTTGTTGTATGCATGTGGCGCTACAAGCGGGGAAACGGTATAGCGCAAGAGGACAGAACGGGGAATGTAGCTGCTGTAGAAGGTCTTGGGGTCGGTCAAGTGTTTGGACGCCCCACTCATGTAATGGCATCAGGCCATAGAATCGTGCGCGTTAACGCCTTCCATCCAAGTTTCGCTATGAATTATAACCCCGATCTAAGCTGCCTGAGGCAGTTACTTATCCTGGAAGTAGCGCAAGCGTGCGGTCTGTATCGTGGAGACTGGCTGAACAAGAGGTGGATGGATGAGTTGCGAGAGCGTTGCAAAAGCATCACCCGAGAAAGATCAAGAGCTCAAGAGATGTAAGCATATCACCACTGTATATTGTGCGCTACTGAGATACCGCTTAGGGACGTGCCTCAGCTCGCCATTGAGTACAAACGAAATTTGGAGTCGACCGCAGCTTTTGTTGAACCACAGATCGAAACCTCACACGACCATGACCCTGCGATTCGATATCGGTACCTTGTTGGAAAGAACATTACAGAATCATTGAACAATGCAAGTCTCTGCATAAGGGCCATACATTGTATGGGGGAAAGTATTGATCCTGATGACATAGACAAGACCAGTTCGGAAGCCATTGAAAATTCAAGTAGATACACTATAGGCTTCGTTCATCGGCTGGTTAAAGTTCTCCTAATTGGTTCAGAACCGGATCGAAACACCAGTATAGGTTGTATCGGTCTGTATGATGCATCCGTTATCGATGCTGGCCTTAGAGCGAGACGACAAAATTACGATGTTACAGCTGCGAAAATACACAAAATTTTAGGCGAGCTGTGTCGGCGAATGAACTCCTCTTTTACTGTAGGGGAAGTATACCCTAAACGAACTTTTCGTTTTACGTTATACGAATGGAGCAAGATTTTGCTTTCGACAGCTATTGATTTCGAAAAGCTACTGAGCGAACTTGCGCCTCTTTCCAAGAATGGATTTCAAAGCGATATGGATGGGATTACAAATTTTTTCGATACACTGTGTCTAGATACAACATAGTTAACTAGTTTTTTAGTTTATCTGGATGCGCAGCCCATCTATAGTGTATGGTAGAGCAAGGGTCGATCTTGGTTTTTGTTTTGCAATTGACTGTGGTTCATGAGATAGAGTTCTAGAACATGTTGTGATTTTGTGTGACACAACGGTTGAATCGTCATGATGGCCAATTGGTTCGATGCAGCTGTGCCTACCAAAATACTGGCAGCGTTGACGCTAACCCTTGTTTACTACTTAGACAGGAAGCTTATCTGCAGGTATTCGACTATTTGCAAATATGGGCTGTCGCAATACCCACATCAGGTTAGCGTCGTTGTTCATGAACGAAGGCTCCTAATTAATACGCTAGCTCTGGGCACGATTGTGTGTAGGTATCGATATATTCTGGTTGATATGTATCAATTTCTGGCAACTAGTCATGACTAGTAGAGGATGAGTGAGTCATAGTCTGCGAATAGAGCTGAGTGGAGCCAACGCTCGCTTCTCTCCCTAAGAAAGCCGAACCAACCTAACAATCTTCTGCAATATGCCTTCCTAAACCTGAACCATTTGGCAACTGTTCACCAGCCGCTGCCAGACTTTCTTACTCTCTTCCAGGTCGCCTCCCACTCCTATATCTCCTGTAAGTGTTTCCTTGTTCCCAATAATTATAACGCCACACTTTGCTCTAGTCATAACAACGTTCAGCCGGCGCATATCGGCAAGAAAACCAATGCTGTGTGATACATTACACCGCACAGTAACGAAGATCACAACATCTGCTTCTCGGCCTTGGAAACCGTCAATAGAAGATACTTCGGCCGTAGTGACAGCACCGCTAAGTGCTTCTTTCTGCCGAGTATATGGAGTCAAGATAGCCAATGATCGTTGCTGGAATTCTGCGGGCTGTGAATTAGCATCTGAGATGGGACTAGTAAGGAGTTGCACGACACGCTTGCAAACCTCGGTCTGGCCGGGGTTGGCTTTTGATCGCTGAGCCAAGTCTTCTGGGCTGCTAATCTCAATCCACACCAACCGATTGTCTTTCGGCCAAGGAAATTGTGACACTGGAAGTGGTCGACTGTCGTCCGCGACTGCAGTGTCCAATCTGCTATCATAAAACTCTGTAGAGCTAAAGTGGCAGATAGTACGATGCATACGGTACTGAATGCTGAGCATAACCTTCGCTACACCTTTACATTCTTGCATGCTGTAGTTACGTTCGAATAACGAGATGTCATAGCCCACAAGCAACGAGTTTTGTTGTACTGTAGCGCGTAATTGGACATGATCACCTACCAAGATCGCGCGCGAACATCCTTTAACAAGTGGTACAAGTGTCGCAGGCTCTGTCAGCTGGGAGGCTTCATCGACGAGAACAATATCGAACTGCTCGTCACGTAGCAAACCAAGACTTGCGCCGGTACATGTAGTGAAGATCAAGCGGGCCTCTTTGATTCGCTGCTGGGCTTTACGGCGTTTGGACGGATTGCCCGTAAGATCTTGGCCTAGCATTGCATCGCAGGTAAAGGACCGAAGGTCTGGTGATACTTTGGAGAGCTGGGGAGATATCAGAAGCGGAACCTTAGAGAAGTATTCATGATGATTTAGCTTACCTGAGTTGATACTCTCACAGCAGTCGTACCGATTTTCTCTGCACTATTGGTGTTTGTGAATCTTCTTAAAATGTTATCAACTGCGTTGTGCGTCGGCGCTGTAATAAGGAACCTGGACTTCGGCAATTGTCGGAGCAACTGACACAGAATGACGATGATGGTGTGAGTCTTGCCTGTTCCAGGAGGTCCCCATATGTACGTTAGTGAGTGTTTCATTGCCGCCGCGAGTGCGTCATTTTGGCTTGCGTTGAGACCTGGATCCCTGGCAACCGGTAGCTCGACCTTTGAAAGCTCAGTCTGATCTATGGCTGGTAATCCCAAGAGGGACGCATATATCTTGCAGCGAGATTCACGTTCAGTATAAAACATTGTCACAGCATCGAATGCGGCCTTGCTTGTAACGAACGAGCCACACAACGTGATATGCCATGCGCATTGTGTAAGATACGGAGGCGGATCATGCAAGCATCTGAGAATGACGGTGCATAGCTCTGTGCTCAATACTAGAGCATCCATCGAAAAGAGCTTCATGAGGGAATCGTTTTTTGGGCTGTTGGTTACGGTAAGACGAACATGGTCACCGGATTTCAGGGAGCCAGCCACGGACGAGTCTACACGTAATATGCTTTTGACGATGGTATGGCCATCCTTGTATTCATGGAAAGCCAGTTTGGTAGACTCCAGCTCGGGGTTTGAAGAAGTTGCGGCCTCGTCAATGTGGTCCAAAGCGATTCCAAAAAGCGAAGAAGTAAATTGACGGACAGCCATCGGACGGCCAACGAGTAGTCGAGATGTTTCTGGTTCAAAGACCTCCAGAAGCAGGTCCAATGCAGTTTCAGGTGAGCGAACAGTAAGTGCAATGAGCTCCACCAGTTTGGCGAAACTTTGCATTGGCAACTCCTTCAACTCGTGTAGTAAAAGCACCAAATGTTGGCGAACAAGGCTGCCGAACTCGTTGGACATCAAGATGAGTCTCTTTGCAATGTCAGGAGCCAAAGCAATCAGTTCATCTTCCATGTCTCGTTTGTGTCTGCCCCATGATTGTGACTGCAGGAGCGTCGAGGTTAGATAGGCTGCATCTTTCAAGTACCACAGTAAGGTTGAAACGATAGTCTTGCCATGGATAGCAAAAGTCGGATCTTCGGTCAGCAGTAGAGTTTGTGAAAACACATCGCGAAGGCGCTTTTTCTCGTCATAATCCTTGAGGAGATCCAAGATCACCTGCAGCTCTGCTATGGAACTCAGTTGACGAAGTGACGAGAGATTGTTCTCTCGGCAGACAGCTCGCACAAGCTCTGTGTATTCATCCCAGTTGAGCATAGCCAGTTTTGCCGTCGTATATTCTGGTTCGAGTTTCTCAAAAAGCGGGAGAATTTCTTGGGTATCAACGTAATGTAGCCACTGATCGAGAACGCGTATTGAATCAACATCGCGGTTGCTGATCACATACACCTCCTACTTCCTGTCAGCGTAATTTGCCAAGCAGCTACACAAAGATACTCACGCCACCCAGGACACCTTCGCTCTGAATTTTCCCAATATGGGTTTTCATATCTCGGCCAATCTTATCTAAAGCAATACTGGCTTTGCATTCGAAGTTGATCTGCTGCCGCATGGTATGTTCCCTCACCCTCCTCTTGTCTCCAACACTGGGCAACGCACGGTACAATGCATCATCACCTTTTGGGCTTCTCAGAAATATCCAGGTGTTTCGTCTTTTCTGGTGATAAAGTTGGAACACTTGTTCATCGCAATAAAGGCGATAGGTAGCCTTGGTGGGCACCGCGCGATAATTGGATGATTGCAGCCCTTGGGTGTGTGGAAAGGCGAATACTCGCACGCCATCATCTACCGCTACCTCGCTAGCACGGGCAACCTTTTCTGGTACATAGATGGCTACGCTAAGACGATCATTGATGCGCAGTACGATCAGTTTTTTGTGAAACACATCTAGTGAGCGACACACGACCGGAAGGAACCTCCCCATGCGATCAATTCCAGAGCGGAAAATTGGTTTCCAGTGCAAATTTGGATGTTCCAGCCCAAATAGACGGAATTCTTGTGGAGAAATAAGCTCGGACTGAAGGAGCCCATTGCGAACCAAGCTTGTCACTGTGTTTGATGGCGGCAATCGAGCGAGGAACCATATCTGTTGTTCGTCCGTCAGAGCACTGAAGTTGATGGCGTGACAGTACCCCATTATGTCCACATCATGTCGATCACACCATTGCACCAGAAGTTGCAGTAGCTCAAACTCCGAAATCGCCATCCTTTCGCGCGTCAGTAGTAAGTCTACAATGCTTGCGTTGTCCTGAATCTCCATCTCTAGTGTAGCTGTCTGTTGAATGTGCGTCATACATGCCTCATGAAGGCTATCTAATATGAAAGGCGCCACTGTTCGCTTAGGTTCGGGTGGATCCTCAAGCTCTTTGAAGGCCTCCAGATTTTCAGGTATTCTGATATGGTTGCCATCCACACACTGAGAAAACAGGCGATTGAGCTGTTGGCATTGTGGGCTCATGGCATTCCCGAGCCGAGCCCACTTAAGGTAAAGATTCTTAACTTTGCCTAGAGATCCATTGGTATAGCGAGCAAAATATTCGGCACGACTATCGCCAGTCACTTCCCCAAAAGTGATGAGCTCTTTGCCACCAGGGTATTGGGCAGGCTCAGCCATTGTACGAGGGATTATATCGCTATCCCATGAGACGAAAACTGTTGTGCATAAGCTTGGAATAGCAATAGTTGCAGATGGTGAGTATCGAACTTACACTTGTCTCCGTCCAAATCGCCTCCAGACATTAGATCGGCGCTTGGTCGTTTCCCTTGTGTTGTAAACACAATGCAATCCACCAGATGCGAAAACTCGGGAACATCAACAGCCCTGAATTTCTGAAGATCACCTGGATGCAGGCACGGGTTTCTCGTAACTAAGACTTCGGTGTTGATGATAGTGTGTGGCCTGCCGTCGCCATCCTTTGTGATGCGGATGAAACACTCGCCTTCTTTAAGTCGACCCGTGAAGCCATCTTTTGCGGTTAGATCACAAACACCAAAGAGTAAACGAGACTTTGGAATTGAGATTCGACATCTCTGTTCGTTGCGCTTATTGACCATTCGATCGTATTCTTGCTTTACTAAACTCTTCAGTGTGGTGCGCACTGAGTCTATACCATCCAATAGGAGCTGTTCTGCCACATCTGTGCGGCCGATGTATGATAGGAATTGGAAGGCAGCCTGAAGATTACCTTTTTGAGCGTCTTGGAGAAAGTTGAGATGCCGTGTCTGTTTGGCAAGGAGCGTTTCTTGCGAGATTCCAAGTGTATGTAAGAGAACAACGATCTCATCGTTAAGACTACCAAAAGCGTAAGGCTGTCCAGTTTTAGCTTACTATCTACGAAATTAACTTGGATACAAGACCTTGGAATAATCCACAATAGCGAGACTGTAGTCTGGCGAATCTTTAAATTTTTGCATTGATGCTCGGAATTGGACCTGGATCTGCCCACGCAACGTCGGATCCAATGTTAAGACGCCTTTATAACCACGATACCGGATCTGGTAAACTGAAGGAAGATACCTTCGATTCCGAAAAAGAATGTTCCGTTTTTGTGCCAGGTGGTTTGCCAGCTGAACAGAGATGAGGCCGCAACCATCGGTAAAGATGTACTGTTTGGTTGCAACATCATTAATGTCTTGACAACGATCGGGAGGCAGATCAAGTGCGACCTCGGCGCTAGAGAAGAGGAGTCCAATGCGCTTCGCTTTCTTGCCAACAGACTTTAATTTTGAGAAATCTCCCATTGCCTCGACTTTGATAGATATCTCCTCTTTCGATGCAGCGTACAAAAAACAAGATCTTGACTTGAGCTGGCTGTTAGAATGGCCGAAGAAGTTATAGGTAACGCCATTGATGGTAAGGCCTGAAACAAGCATTCTGGTGATCCAGTCCCCATTCTCCCGACCTGTGGCCGGTCTCGAAGCCTCACCTGCAATAAGAGCAGGCCATTGCAGCTTGAAATCTGCGAAAGAGAGGAGAATGAACCTGTCGAGAACGTCGTTCCTGATGACTTGGTTTGAGGGTGCAGCTGTAAAACAGAGGGTGATCTGTTGCTGGTAGATTGAGGAGATTATCGATACACATTTGATGAGCCCCGCCTTATTGGTCAGATGAGATACGGGAATATCTGGTACCGTATACTCCCATTTGACGTCTTCTGGAGACACACGGTGCTGCAGGGTTTTGACGAACGATCTGAATTCGCTCATCTTTGTGAATTTTTCAAGATTGGTTGATAGGAAAGAGGGAAATGGGGGGAATATACGGATCGCAGCGGATACGATTCTTGAGTTTTGCATCCCGTGTCAGACTGCGAAAAGGCCGATGACGTATCGCACCAAACCGTCACGAGCTATTGTAAACTTTGCTTCACAAATTCATTACCCCTCTTTCGAAGTTTCTTTCTCAGCTTCCTTTGCTTATAGTTTCACAGACTCAGCTGATAGTAAAATCCCTGAATCAGGTCCCCAGAGATTATTGCA